AAAAGTACCAAAATCTTAATATAATGAAGTGCAAAGAGTAACAGAATTGTTACAAAATTATTCTAATTCAAAGTTAAATAAGAGATACTTCAGAGTGTAAATGCCAACAATGCTAATTACAATACTTACTTTGCTATTTTATCTGATTCAGAATTAATTCAGTACAATCAATTTTACATTCTATTCATTTGAACAAGAAATGAGCTCATGTTTACATTAAGCTCTCAAAAATGATATCTTCTCGACATTACGATTCATCGTCATGAAATCAAAATCTGAGCTGATGTAGCATTGACTTGAGATTTAATGAAGTAAAAAAGTATTACTTAAGTAGTACAAATATTTACACTTTATATTCAAGATTTTGTTTTCATCAACCTGCATCATTATGTCAGACTTTCTTTGCCAATTTAATCATCGAATTTTGATTTTGACTGTAGTCATCGGTTTGGGATTACAGCTGTTAAAATAATAAATTTTCATTTCATTATCTGATAAAGACTTCAGTAATGCTTACATTCACATCCCTCATATTTATATTTGTTAAATTGTTATCGTGATAATCATAATAATAATAATAACAATAATGATAATAAATAATGCGAATAATAATAGTCGAAGATTTATTCATCTGAAAAAATATTAATGCTTTTGATGATAATAATGATAGTAATTTTATTATGGAATAGTCCTCACAAATGCATTAAAAATTTATAGTGTGACAAAAAAAAATTGACTTGCATTAAATTTGCTAAAATAATTGAAATGGGAAATCGAAATGGCAAAACTCGTACGACAAAAGGTCAAAAAGGTTGCCTGCTTAAACGCTCTATAAATGAGCACAATATACCAGTGCATTCAGTCGAGGTGTTTCGAATCATAGCGCAGCATTTGGGCTTTAAACGAAAAAATACTCAAATATTGGATGATTACGGTAAGTTTGCTTATTATTTATTGTTGCAAATTATTATTATATTTAATTGTAAAACAATTTTGGCATTAGCTCTAAGCAACTTTAATACAATTTGAAAAACTTAACAGCTGAGTGGTAAATTTTTGCAATTAGAAAAATAACACTAACACTACTTATTATTACTATTATAGTTTTTTTGATGCACGCAATTTATTATGTTTTTGGTATTTGTGATCGAAATATAAAGTAAAAGTAGACTTTCAGAATATTTTTTCTTTTATTTTTGATTAAAAATTGACAGCTAAAAATGTAAGAATAAGATGTCAGAAGCTAATTTGAAATTATAAAAAATGCTTATTAAAAATTCTTTGGCATTTGTTCAGAACTTTTTCTGCTCACTTCGCAAACTTTATGCTTCTATTTCTGTTGCCAATTACAAATGGAATAGAATCAGATGTATTTCTTTGCTATTTTTTGATTCCAATAAAATCTTTTTTATTTTTTCTCAATCAAATAAAGTTTATAAATTAAATGCATTACAAGCTCACATAGACTACACTAATTTTTTGAATAGTTTTTCTGATTTTTAAAAATTTTGTTCATTTTCACGAAAATTTAATTTAATGCACAGCTAGCTAACTTTAATATCAAAGCTTCACTTCCGTTTAATTTTAATAAAACGAATTGAACACTTTGTTTAAATGAGATTAAATATTTGAAAAAAATAATCAAAATTGTTTTCTTTGAAGGCTTAAATAGCATTCTACTTCAATATTGATCACTTTTGAATAAAATCTCTGATCAAAGTTTTATTTGTAAACTTAAATAAAACGAAATATTTACTTTGTAAGTAACTGTATTATTTTAGATAAAGTAAGAAGTTGTTACAGAATTTTAAATTATTATATGTTTATTACAGATGCAAAACGAAATAAAATGACATCACCAAGTGGATCATCTTTTGACCTATCACCTCCCAATCCTGCAACTTTTTCAGTCACTTTTAATGCTAATCCACCGGAAGCTGAGCTGAATGATTTCAGTAGCTGCAAGGATTCTAAATATAAAGCTGATAAAAGAGTATATTCAAGATGCCCATATATCTCGATATCCTGTGGTATGAGCTATTGTGCTTAGATTTATAATTTACTCTTAGCATTTTCTTGAAATTTTACAAGAATAACTGCAAATAAATTCACTTGTTAATTCTTAACAAAACTTGATATTCTCTGAAAACACACAAAAATATTCATTTAATTTTCAATCTTTAGTAGATAACTGCTTTGTAAAAATTTTCGGACAAAAATGTACCAATAAGTCAAATTTGCATGACTTATTTTAATTAAAATGGTGTACTTGGATAACTAAAAAGTCATGAATTTTCTTCAAAAATACTTTATCTGATAAGTATTAATTATTAGTTGCTTTAATCTTATCATTTATCACGAAGCCATTTGAATACTTCTGCTTATAAATTTCGATCTGATCAAAGTGGTTAGCAGAAATATTTTATTTAATTGAAATGACTGAAGCGTGAAAATTCATTCAGCAAAAATTTATAATAAAATTCATAATTATGGCTAAATTTATTGCGTAGATGAAAAAGACGCAGTAGAAATCATGTATAACAACTGTGACAGCGATAAATTCTTCAAAACAAATACTGACCCTAATGGACCCGATTTCTTGCATCAAAAAAGGTTAATTATTTATTATTGGAATAAAATTTGATCAAAAAAGATATGACAAACTTAAATAGCTAATTATTGAGTACTAGTATTGCTATGAACTAATTTACATTACTTTAATTCATCACAAAAGTTTTCAAATCTCCGATAAGCTTTTAAAGCAATATGCAAATTATAAGTGCAATTTGTTTTTTCTTTCAAGTTTTTGAAACATTTGTTTTGTTGAAAAGTTTGCACACATATTCATCAGATAATTTAGAAAAATACCGCAATCTCAAGTTATTAACAAAAAAATTGAACAAGAAAATTCTATGCATTTGTGTTCATTAAATACAATGAAAGACTTGCTGAAGAAAACGCTTTTTTCTAAGGACGATTCAATACAACGCCGAAAAAGTTTGCATTAATTTTAAAATATTTTCTAATTTAAAAATAAATTCCAAATTTGAAAACTTTTGGCAGTTAATGATAACTTACTCTTAACTTATGCTATGGCATTCTTTTATAATAAATAGAGTAATCAAATAATATTCGAAAGATATTTAATCTGACTTTCAGATGTAAAATTTTTTAGTCAAATATTTTAAACTTTAACTTTACTTTCTTCGTTCGCTGCATTAATAATAACTCAATGCATCTTTTTTTAATCCACAAATAATTATTTGATTTTTATCAATTAGTTTATTTTTTAATCAAAAAGGTCTAAAGTTCAAATATTAGGCTGAATTAGGCTTAATATTTGCTATTTTTGTATTAGTTAAGTCACTAGGTAGATTCATAATTCTTTCTTGCTGAGAAACATAATAATTTCAAGTCCTTTTTGATTCGATAAAATTGTATTAATAATTACTAAAATCAAAATATAAACATAGCTGATTACGGAAATTACTTTCATCAAACTTTCATCAAAATCTTTTAAATTTTAATAATTTTAAAACATCTGTGGAATTTCGGAGATAGAATTTTTGATGAATTCAACAAGAAATGAGTTACTTTTTTGCATTAAAAAATATTTTTTGTTAAGTTAGCTTTGAACTTTTTCTCAAGCAATTTTAATTTTTTTTAGCAGAATAAAATGCACAAATCTCAAGTATGATTAGTGTAGATAAATGTGATTTGGCTAAATTTTGCATTCTTGTCAACTTGCAGTAATTTTCTACTACGTAATTTTTAATATTTTTAAGTGCTTAGTTTAGTCCTCGAACTTCAAAATATGAAGTAAAAATTTAGCATTCTTGCAGCAGTGAAGAATCAAAAATAATTAAAAATTAAGTAAGTGTATGCCAAGCAAAACAAAATATTCAATATTTCGATAAGCTGTGAGCGTCAAAATATTTTTCCAAAATTATTAATATTACTATAAATTGAAGTATTGAGGAAATAATAAGGCAATTATATGCAAAATATTTTAGTCACAGTAAAATAATTGAATGAATAAATGCAAGATATAGAAATTGTTTTTGTAAAAATTAGTAAACATTTTTGAAAACATAAAAATTTACTTTAAAAATTTTTAAGCATATTTTTATGTTTTCCAAAAAAAAATTTATTTTTAATTTTTAAGTTTTTATATTTTTATTGTTTTTTTTACTTTTACCTTTCAACAACTTTAAAATCGTAGTTTTTTCAGGTAGAAAGATTTTTGTCCTTAGCATTTGAATTTTTTGAAAATAAATAAATAAAATTTATAAAGAATAATAATGTAACTTGTTAAATTAGGAATATGTAGAGTACAACACTATAATTTACATATGCTAATTACAGTTAATTGGTAATATAATTAGCAACTCTTCAATTAATATTTGCTATTTCTTATTTAATTATATAATTTCAAAATAAACAAAACATAATTAAATGTTTTTGACTCATTTTAATAAATTCATTTACTTTTTTTCACTTGAGATTCCACAACATTGCTTACAAGCTGGCTGAAGTATAAAACTTATATCTTAAATTGTCTTCAATTTTTTAGCACTCTTTGCTAGCAAGAACACGTTATACTGACGTAAACATTAATGTGCAAGGCTAGTGAAAGTAAAAATAAAGTTTTTAATTAACAAATTAATGCTAGCCACTTTTAACTTTATTAACTTACTGATGTTGTGATAGCAATCAGGCAAATTATTAGTAAAAAAGTTTCTTGTTATGATTCTGAAAATGAATGAAAAAAAGAACAATTGGGGATAATTACTTTCAACGCTTATAACTTTGAAAAATTCTCACTCAGCCAATTTGGTTTCTAATCTAAATTAGCTTTATTAGAAAAAATTAAGCTTGCAGAAAATTATCAAACAGTGACCTAAAACAATTGTTAATACTAATTTCAGAAGATGATTAATATTTGTAAAGTAGTGAAGCACAAAAGTAATTGCAAGGAGAAAATTTTATAACGTTTACTTTCATTGTGATTACTTAATTATTCAACTTTGGCATATGCTCAGTTATAAATGACATTGTGCAATAATAGTTTTAAGAGATTAAATATACTAAAATTGATAACTTCTCAAGCATTAAGTATGCAAAGGAAAAGTTAACCATTGAGTTCAAAGAGCAAATTAAAATTGGTATGGCAGATGTATTACACTAAATACTCTATTCTTGCACACAAAATTATTATCTGTCAATCCATCGAGAGGTTAAATTGCATTTCCTGCTGAAATCATGCATTATTCCCGAGAATTCTCGTTTGTATTGCTTACTTGAGTGGAAAGAATACGCTTGCTTATTCTGTTGAAAATGTTTACTTGATAGCACTGCAAGGACTGCAAATTTTTCCCCTCTTCGCATTGCTAATAAAGGAAGAAAAATATAAAATTTAAAACCAAAACAAATAAAAACATAAAAATTAAAAAATAAAAAATCCAAAAAAGCAAAAAAAATCAAAAAGTATAAAACAATTTTAAGTGTAATTTTATAAATTATATAGAATAATAAATAGAATAAAATTTATAAATAGAATAAATAGAATTTATAAATAGAATTTTGTAAATTTTATAGAATAATTTTATTTCTTCTTTGACTTGGAAATAAATAATAAATTTTCTTGCTTCTTTGGTTAAAGAATTAAAAATAATTCGTATTTTCAGTGAATTAACTAATTTTTCATCTTTATTATTTTTTATTTATCAATAAATACACATATTTATATACATGCAAATTTTCTGAATTATCAAAATTTGAATTTCAACTAGTTAAAGTAACTTTAGTACATAAAACTTAACTTCCTTAACGTAAACTTGCGGTAATTAAAAATAATTTCAAGTTATTAGAGTCAATTTTGAACATTTTCAACTGTGCTTCTTTTCCCTTATCAGGAATCACAACTACTGTACTTTCTGTGCCTAAGCCATCATCCAGACTTCATATCACTTTCTTTACTTCGTTTTGTCAATTTTACATAAATAGCAATTACTTACATTACTGAAATTATGAATTATTTTATCAAAAAAGAAACTGTTTACTGCTTACTAATTTCCTTGATATCAATTACTTACTTACGTAACGACTTGCTCCCATCTTCCATTAATTTATCCATGTAAAATTTATTAAATTTCCTTAATTTAAATCTATAAAATTGTGAATTCCCTACCCAATAAGCTAATTTTGATGAATGATTACTTCCTTAGTGTGAATTTACTTCAAAAATTCTGCTTTTTCTTTCAGTTTCAAGAAACTACACATTTTCTTAAAATAAATTAAGTCCACAGAAAAAAAATTATTCATTTACAAAAATCACAAACATTTAATAGAATTTACATAATTTTGATTGTGTCATGCCTTTATCGAATTCATTGAATTTTATGTGATTAAGTTTATATCGAGAATCTTACGCGGACTCAACTTTGACATGAAAACATTTTCACGTGAATCAGATTTTCGAGTAAAGTACAATTATCAATTATTTCAATAACTTAATAAGTTTTCATATTAAAAAACCGAACATTTTATGTTGTTTTTTGGCACGAAAAGTGCGTATTTTGATGAGCACTTATTGCGTATTTGAAAAATAACATCAGTGATAAGACATTTTGCATGGCACATTCAAACTGGAATATCAGACAATTATGGAAATAAGAAATGACGTCTATTGTTGATAAAAAATGATCTTAGTAATCAAACAAAATTATAAAATTATATTTTTTGCTGTTTTTGATGTCATAAATTGTCGTAATTTAGTGTTATAAATGAATATTCTCGCTCATGTGAATCAAAGTTTTCAAATTTTCTTGCAGACAGGATGCCATCTATTTCAGGATTACCACCTCGTGCAAAATCAACTGATCAATGCACTTCACGTCCAAAACCAATTTTGAATCCATCTCGTTATTCAAGGCATTTTTCCCCACAATCAGGTCATCGTTTATTTTTTGTAATCACTATGAATGAATAATTTAATACAATCCAAATATATGAATCTTAAAGTTTTTAAAAATTTTCAACAATAATAAAGTGAAGTTTTATTGTTTTTATTTTACTAAATTCATATTACCTAACAATCTTTATTTTCATTAAATAAATTAAAGTCAAAATATATTGCAAAAAAAAAATGAACAATCAATATGCTAAAAAAAAGAATAATTCTGCAATAAGCATACTAGCTATAATTTTCAATCCTTTTACTTTATTCACAAACAAAACAGTGAACGCTTTTATGCATGTTCTGAATAACTTCATTAATTAATCAATTAATTATTTTTTGGTTTATTTATTATCTACACTATCATTTCCATTTTTATAAATCACTAAATTCTTTTCGCTAACAAACAGATGAAACTAAAATTGAATTAAATTAATTAGTAATTAAATAAACGAAACTGAAAAAATTTCAGATATACTTAATTAAAAAAATCAATGACATCGAATGTTTAATGCGATTAATGTTCAGAACAAAACATTTATTACATTTCGAATTAGCTTTTTAAATTAATTTTCACTTAACAAACTTATGGTAGTTTCTAAAAACAAGCTTACCATTTTAATTCCGTTATTATTCAAAAATACAAATTAAATCTCGCTACAAATTTGACCTTCCATGCGTTTGAAGTCCCCAAATTGATTACTGCAAGAGCTATACAAAATATTTTATTTTCAATAGCAAATTTTTTTTGAATTATGGAATTACACCAAAAGCCAGCTCAAACCATTACTTTCACTGTTTTTTTCATCACTCGAAATTAACCATACAGAGATTTGAGCTCAAAAGAGTTACTATTATTTTAAACTTCAGTATTACTCTATTTTAAATATGAATAATTCAATCAATTATCGAAATTCAATATTTGAAATGCAGCTTAATTTGAATACAAGCCAAATCAACTTAGTACTCAGCAAATTCTCATTTACAATCTTCAGGTATCTTATTTCTCCCATAATGAAGAATTCATGCTACTTAAACACAATGTATCAATTAGTTACTATATTTCGAATATCTAAATTTAAAAAACAAATCTATTATAGTTATTTTTGTTTGCTGGCAATTTTTCCAAGCTAAAAATAAATACTACTGCTTATTTCTAAGTTTATATTTCATACACATTTTCAATAAAATTTCCATTTTTACCTTTATAACAATTCCTTTCATATAATTACTTAAATTAAAACCTATATCACTACAGATATGTCTTCAAGTCGAAGTTTAACAAATATTGCTAACAGTTTACAACTGAACGCTCCTCAGCTGTTATTAGTACGTAAAACATGGGCACACGCAAGAAGCCAAGGGGCATTAGAGCCTGCAATGAGTATTTTTCGCAACAGTTTCTTCAAATGTAGTGAAATTCGATCACTCATAATGAATGGGCCTAAAAATGAAGGACATGAACGATTAAAGGTATAATTTAGAAAGCAAATTCAATAAGCAATTAATATGTAAAACAAATCTTTTGTGCAAAATCAAATAACTTTATTTAGACTTGTGAGTTACTTAGTGAACATTTATATAAATATGAAAGATTCTTTTGTTATTTAAAAATACAAAATAAAATCAGTAATATTCAATTCATCAATTATTTTTGTATAAATTAAATAATTCTGATTTCAGACTTTAATTTGTTTATAGCATTAACTATGAAAATTTTAATTAACATTTAGAGTCATGCGAAAGCATTTACGGAAATTATGGACCAATTGATATGTGGATTAGAAACGAAAGAATTAATAATGTATGAGCTACGTGCAGCTGGTCGTAGCCATATTTTTTTGCCCCGTGACGCTACTGATAATAAATGTTAGCGTATGCTTAATCGACTAAAAATTTCTTTACTTTAGGTTGAAAGTAATAGGTGAATGCCACATTTCACGAGCATCTTTCAGTACTACCATAATTCAAAGGCTTATAATCTGATATAGAACAATTAAGAAGAAGTGAGCATAAAAAGAATCTATTTTTGAATATTTGCAAAAATTCTGCGAAAAAAAAAAATTGAATTGTTCGATACTTTAAATTTCGTACTAAAACTTGTTCAACAATTATGTAAAACTTGCAAATTAATCAAAGTATTAATGTTATAGCAAAAGGATGTACATTTCGTCTAGCACATTTTGAGCATTTTGCATCAGCGATGATTGAACGAACTCTCGAATGGGGTGAAAAGAAAGATCGCAACGAGACAACGCAAACTGCCTGGACAAAAATTGTTCTCTTTGTTACAGAACAACTTCGAGAAGGTTACCAAGAAGCGATACGTCAAGAACGACGAGCGAAACATCAAAACCATCATTAACGGGTACGTACTTATTATTTACACTTACAGTTCAGCTAAATGTAATAAAAATTAACTCACAAAACATCATACATTCATTAAATAAAAATTAGAGAATAAATGATTACAAAAAGATTTTTGTATAACTTGTTTTATAACTTTTTAATTTCAGAAAATCATTCTACAAATACAAAAAATGCATTTAAAGTTAAGTGAGACGAGCAATATACCGGTCGCAATGCTATTTGAAGAGAAAAAAATCTGCATTCACCAAACGATTTCCAACCATTGATCACGTCTTGTAGACGTGTACAGAGCTTTTTTTTCCGTACGAAGAGTAATTATCATTCTAAAATCACTGTAATATAGTACTTTGCACGTTGAATTTCATTTAAAATCACTTACTGTAATACTGCACCAAATGTTGATCATTTAAAAACAAGTGATATAATGACATTGGTTATCAGATGCAATGAACTATGAATATACGATGAATAATGCCAGAATACTGAGAATTTCGCAAAGATAATTACTCAATTGAATCCATGCAAAAATTTTAATTTAAATTGGATAAAAGGAAGCAAATTACAAAATAGAAAAAATAAAACAAAATTTCTATAATTTATATATTTTCAAATTTTGTTTCAAACACAAATTAGCAATTTTAAAACTAACAAAATTAAATAATTAAATTAATTGTATGGGAACAAATCGTAACTTAAATGCTACTATTACTTTATCTCCTTTTACATTATCAGTTATTATAATGCAAAAAGATATCCTTATTTTTTTAAATATTATTTTCAAAAAAAAACAATATTTCAAATGAACTGAGAAAATTTGACATCTTTGTTTACAAATAAATTAACATACAAACCGAAAAGAAATTAATTATTACAATTTTTATTGATTACATGAAAAGCAATACTTTATTATCCATTCGATCATAATAACAGCATAAATTGATAAAATTTCCCAAACATATTTTGGTTAGAATGTATAGTAATGGTAATTTAAATTGAGCAATAATTAACACAACGGTTATGAAATACAAATTGAAATAGAAATAATTGTCAAAAACACGTTATTTATATCATCAAAATAACGAAAATGATAAATATAATAATAATAATAATAATAATAATAATAATAATAATAATAACAATAAAATTAGTAATGATATTTTTATTAATTCATGAAAAAATCAAATAATATTATCATATTGAGACAAAGCATATTCTGGCCGATGGAATAAGATTTCCATAAGGAAACAACAGTAATGACAATCTTTAACTTATGAATAAAATAATACTTGCACATATAAAAATATTATTTTAGCTGATTCCAATCACAAAAATTTCACACAGAAATGATTGAATTTCTGAAAAGAATGCCAGATAAATTGATCAAGCGTAGAAAGAAAACGAAATTTAGACTGATCGATTCTTAGCAAAAAGTGATCAATCAAGATCAAATAAATCTAGGAAAAGATCAGTCCAGTTCATCAAATCCCATATCATAGAAGCTTAGTTGATCAAGCCTCGAGAGAAAGCAACAATACGACTAAACTCTATTCAAAAAAAG